GCAAAACAGGGAACCCCAGAGCCAGGATGCCAAACGTCACCTAAGGAATGCATGAAGATAGGGATGCAAAACCTGCGAAACCTGCAAAACCTCCGTGAACCACCCAAAGGCTGCAAAAGCTGCAAAACTTCCGAAACAGGGAACCCCAGAGCCAGGATGCCAAACGTCACCTAAGGAATGCATGAAGATAGGGAAGATATATAGGGAAGAAAGTGAGACTGTGAGCCCCCAAAGGCTGCAAAAGCTGCAAAACCTCCGAAGCAGGGAACCCCAGAGCCAGGATGCCAAACGTCACCTAAGGAATGCAGTAAGATAGGGAAGATATAGGGAAGAAAGTGAGACTGTGAGCCCCCAAAGGCTGCAAAAGCTGCAAAACCTCCGAAACAGGGAACCCCAGAGCCAGGATACCAAACGTCACCTAAGGAATGCATGAAGATAGGGAATAGGGAAGATAGGGAAGATATAGGGAAGAAAGTGAGACTGTGAGCCCCCAAAGGCTGCAAAAGCTGCAAAACCTCCGAAACAGGGAGCCCCAGAGCCAGGATGCCAAACGTCACCTAAGGAATGCATGAAGATAGGGAAGATAATTCGGGAAGAAAGTGAGACTGTGAGCCCCCAAAGGCTGCAAAAGCTGCAAAACCCCCGAAAGAGGGAACCCCAGAGCCAGGATGCGAAACGTCACCTAAGGAATGCAGTAAGATAGGGAACCCCCAGAGCCAGGATGCCAAACGTCACCTAAGGAATGCATGAAGATAGGGAAGATAAGATAGGGAAGATAAGGGAAGAAAGTGAGACTGTGAGCCCCCAAAGGCTGCAAAAGCTGCAAAACCTCCGAAACAGGGAACCCCAGAGCCAGGATGCCAAACGTCACCTAAGGAATGCATGAAGATAGGGAATAGGGAAGATAGGGAAGATATAGGGAAGAAAGTGAGACTGTGAGCCCCCAAAGGCTGCAAAAGCTGCAAAACCTCCGAAACAGGGAACCCCAGAGCCAGGATGCCAAACGTCACCTAAGGAATGCATGAAGATAGGGAAGATATATAGGGAAGAAAGTGAGACTGTGAGCCCCCAAAGGCTGCAAAAGCTGCAAAACCTCCGAAACAGGGAACCCCAGAGCCAGGATGCGAAACGTCACCTAAGGAATGCAGTAAGATAGGGAACCCCAGAGCCAGGATGCCAAACGTCACCTAAGGAATGCATGAAGATAGGAAAGATATGCAAAAGCTGCAAAACCTCCGAAACAGGGAACCCCAGAGCCAGGATGCCAAACGTCACCTAAGGAATGCATGAAGATAGGGAGACTGTGAGCCCCCAAAGGCTGCAAAAGCTGCAAAACAGGGAACCCCAGAGCCAGGATGCCAAACGTCACCTAAGGAATGCATGAAGATAGGGATGCAAAACCTGCGAAACCTGCAAAACCTCCGTGAGCCCCCAAAGGCTCCAAAACCTGCGAAACAGGGAACCCCCCAAATTCGTAATATCCCTGCTTCTCTGGCGCCCTTCCCCTTGGAGGGGTCGGCGGATTCCGGCCCAACAGCCAAATGCAAACATTTCGCTACCGGTCCATTAAGCAAAACAAAAGGTTCTGTTACCGGCTCAGTAAACAAAACAAAATAACATTAAGAACCATGATTTTTATCTGTTTGGACTCAACAGATCCTTCCACTGGTAACGTTACTTTTTCAGGCTTGGAACCATGAGTTTCAAGCTTTGGGAACCCGCAGTTCCGTACAATGAAAGCCGCTTAGCTTCGAAAACATAAATTCTAACTTCATCTAACTTCTGGGAACCGGCAATTCCTTGCAATGGTAACCTCTGCATGGTTCCCAGGTTGGGAACCGTAAGTTTCAAGGTCTGGGAACCGGCAGTTCCTTGCCATGGTAACCCTTGGTTCCTACATTTGGAACCATCAGTTCCAACCTTTAGGAACTGGAAGTTCTTTGCAATGGTAACCTGTGGTTCCCAGGTAGGAACCGGCAGTTGCTTGCAATGGTAATGTCTGGTTCCCAGGTTGGGAACCAGGAGTTCCAACCTCTGGGAACCGGCAGTTCCTTGCAATGGTAACCTGTGGTTCCCACGTTGGCAACAGCGAGTTCCAACCTTTGGGAACCGGCAGTTCCTTGCCATGAACCAAACGCAAACATTCCGCTACCGGTCCATTAAGCAAAACAAAGCGTTCTTTACCGGTCCATTAAGCAAAACCATAAAGTTGTAAAGAAAATGTTTTCACATTTTGACATGCAACTTTTTCGTGCAAAAACATTTTTATGCCGGCCCAGCAGCCGAACGCAAACATTCGCTACCGGTCCATTAAGCAGAACAAAAGGTTCTGTTACCGGCTCAGTAAACAAAACAAAACAACATTAAGAACCATGAGTTTTAACTTTTTGCAATCAACAGATCCTTCCACTGGTAACGTTACTTTTTCAGGTTTGGAACCATGAGTTTCAAGCTTTGGCAACTGGCAATTCCTTACAATGATAGTTGCTTAGCTTCGAAAACATAAATTCTAACTTCTGGGAACCGGCAATTCCTTGCAATGGTAACCTCTGGTTCCCAGGTTGGGAACCGTAAGTTTCAAGGTCTGGGAACCGGCAGTTCCTTGCCATGGTAACCTTTGGTTCCCACGTTGGGAACCATCAGTTCCAACCTTTAGGAACCGGAAGTTCTTTGCAATGGTAACCAATGGTTCCCAGGTTGGGAAGCATGAGTTCCAACCTCTGGTAAGCGGCAGTTGCTTGCAATGGCAACCCATGGTTCCCAGGTTGGGAACCAGGAGTTCCAACCTCTGGGAACCGGCAGTTCCTTGCAATGGTAACCTGTGGTTCCCACGTTGGCAACCCTGAGTTCCAACCTTTGGAAACCGGCAGTTCCTTGCCATGAACCAAACGCAAGCATTCCGGTACCGGTCCATTAAGCAAAACAAAGCGTTCTGTCCCGGTCCATTAAGCAAAACCATAAAGTTGTAAAGAAACTGTTTTCATATCATTTTAACATGCACCATTTTCGTGCAAAAACATTTTTATGCCGGCCCAACAGCCAAACGCAAACATTCCGCTGCCGGTCCATTAAGCAAAACAAAAGGTTCTGTTACCGGCGCAGTAAACAAAACAAAACAACATTAAGAACCATGAGTTTTTAACTTTTTGCACTCAACAGATCCTTCCACTGGTAACGTATGCTTTTTCAGGTTTGGAACCATGAGTTTCAAGCTTTGGCAACTGGCAATTCCTTACAATGATAGCCGCTTAGCTTCGAAAACATAATCTAACTTCTGGGAACCGGCAATTCCTTGCAATGGTAACCTCTGGTTCCCAGGTTGGGAACCGTAAGTTTCAAGGTCTGGGAAACCGGCAGTTCCTTGCCATGGTAACCTTTGGTTCCCACGTTGGGAACCATCAGTTCCAACTTTTAGGAACTGGAAGTTCTTTGCAATGGTAACCTATGGTTCCCAGGTTGGGAAGCATGAGTTCCAACCTCTGGGAACCGGCAGTTGCTTGGTAACCTCTGGTTCCCAGGTTGGGAACCATGACTTCTAACCTGTGGGAACCGGCAGTTCCTTGCAATGGTAACCTGTGGTTCCCACGTTGGCAACCGTGAGTTCCAACCTTTGGGAACCAGCAGTTCCTTGCCATGAACCAAACGCAAACATTCCGCTACCGGTCCATTAAGCAAAACAAAGCGTTCTTTACCGGTCCATTAAGCAAAACCATAAGATTGTAAAGAAACTGTTTTCATATCATTTTGACATGCACCTTTTTCGTGCAAAAACATTTTTATGCCGGCCCAGCAGCCGAAGGCAAACATTCTGTTACCGGTCCATTAAGCAAAACAAAAGGTTCTGTTCCCGGCTCAGTAAACAAAACAAAACAACATTAGGAACCATGAGTTCTAACTTTTTGGAATCAACAGATCCTTCCACTGGTAACGTTACTTTTTCAGGCTTGGAACCATGAGTTTCAAGCTTTGGGAACCCGCAGTTCCTTACAATGATAGCCGCTTAGTTTCGAAAACATAAATTCTAACTTCTGGGAACCGGCAATTCCTTGCAATGGTAACCTCTGGTTCCCAGGTTGGGAACCGTAAGTTTCAAGGTCTGGGAACCGGCAGTTCCTTGCCATGGTAACCTTTGGTTCCCACGTTGGGAACTGAACCATCAGTTCCAACCTTTTCTATCTGGGGTCTATGCCGGTGTAATTATAAGTCCGTCGCTATACATGTATGTAGATATGTGTTTATGCATGTCAACACGCAAACTGTGATAGCAGCAAAACAACCAAATAACGACACTGGTGCTGAGGCTGAAGCTGAGGGATGGCCATGGAAAAAAGTACTGAGCAGTAAATCATACATAAAACATAACGAACACTAGAACCTGAATGATAGACCAATAAGAACAAGGATAATAAAAATCAAATATACAATTATATATATATAGATATGTTCATTGCAATCAGAATTAGACATACGATGGCAGTAGTGATAATTGCATGCCTTCTGGAAGAGAGTCGGCTTTGCGCTGCAGTCTGCCCTAGGTGGCTCTGGCGGCCAGATGTGCGGACCGGAAGAGCATGGGATACGGCGAAGCCGATGAGGCTTCCAACGCTTCCAACAAAGCCAATTTGCCCCGGCTTTGATTACATAGATGACATAGAACATACCTGAGAAGATAACTGAGTATGGCCGGACTCCGAGCCAAAGGCCAAGTCAACTCTTGTGTTAGCATCCACCTTGCATGAAAGGAGGCACAGTTGTACTCGCCACTTTCATCTTTGGAAGTATTATTTGCTTTAGCTCAAACCCGTCTTGCAATGTTGGGCGCGGCCCAATGCCAGTTTCCGAAATTTCCTAGCTTCCATGTAACTTCTGGGTAGCTCCCTTTCCATGGGCATCGCCCACTCGAACTCCCGTTTTCCAGGTCTCTATGCAGTGGTCTGAAATGGAAGCAACCCTTGAGGCCGATGTAGCCCTTATTCGCTCGCAGCTGAATGCACTGCCGATCTGGGATCCAGATCTCCAAATGCGTCTCAGGCAACAAAGAACTGCTGGGTTTCAGTTCTGGTCTCCAACATGACTTGTCAAGTTTCTGCAATTGTGGAGAGTACTCCGCAGTAGCACGTCTCAAGAACTAAATTGCAGACAGCAAACATTTTACACTCCCAACATTGGTGGGTGAGACAAACCAAGAAGTAGCATCAGGAAGTGGCCTCAGATAGTTCAAGCTTTGATTTAGAGACCGGTCTGGTGGTAAAGCTAAATGTAGGGCTTTGAATCTGATGATGAATAATTTAGCTCCAAGTTGTTGAGCTCCTGTTTGAGGTATATATGTTGAGTTGAAGCATGTTCAGCTTGAACTTAGTCCGACTACGGTGATCCAGGCGTTGGTCGAATGCTGATGGTGCCCAGACTTTGGCACCTGGACCATGGCGGCGCGAGGCAGGTGTTTTGCATGTTGTGCTCTCGTGGAAGTGTGGTTCTTGGTCAAAGACTGTGGTCAAGCCATTTGTTCTTGTAGACGTGCTGCAGATGATGCGGGCTTTGCAGTATACAGCAGCTGCGAATGTACCAATCTGCGACACGATGCAACATTTCGATTGACCTGCAACGATGCCAATGGTGCAATATACTGCAGTGCATTGGGGCGCACAGGTTGCGCCAGAAGGAGGCGCTCTGGAGTGCAGCAGTTTGGTGCAAGGAGAGTCTTTGGCCATGCTCTCCGGCGAGGTGGGCACTGTGCGACAGACTGTGTCAAAAAGCTGTGTGACAGACTGTGTGGTGAGTCAGACATCGCTTGGCATGTTTTGATACATGTTCTGATAATGTTCTGTTTTGAGGTTTCACTTTTGTTGTTTGTGCTTCGTCATGTTTGCTGATGGGTTCTGAGGCGACTAGCCGCACACAAAGTTCTGCTTGTGCACCTTCTTTGCATTTCAGATTCAGCAGATTTTGGACAAATCCTCCTCGGTTTGGCTTGTGACGGTGTTTGCCAGTGAAAAAGTACATCCAGCCGAATCCAGCCCTTTGAATGGCAATGTCATGTTACAGGTCCACAAACAGAAAGCTAGCATTTGGCACACCAAACTTTGACTCTACCCCGTGCAATAGTTCCATTCGAATTTTATAATCTACTTGTATTGTGGGTAATTTGTGAGTTATCAACTGGTATTCTTACAGCTCATCTCCAAAAAATCATTCTTTCAATGCCGGCCCTTCAAGGTATATAGATACTTTTTCCCCACATCTTTGTGTGGGGTTCTTGTTTTTGATTCTGTATCCCGCTCCTCCTCCTCCGCCGCCTCCTCTTTCTTTCACACAACTTGCTCACACACAACTTTGTCACACACACACACCACTTTGCCTCCTCTCTCTGTCACACACAACTTGCTCACACACAACTTGCTCACACACAACTTTGTCAGACACACAACTTTGCCACTCACTCTCTTTCACACACAACTTGCTCACACACAACCACACAACTTTGCCACTCACACACAACTTGCTCACGCACAACTTTGTCACACACCACATTCTCACACACAACTTGCTCACACACACACAGCTTTGTCACACACAGCTTGCTCACACACACACACAACCACACAACTTTGCCACTCACACAGAACTTGCTCACGCACAACTTTGTCACACACCACATTCTCACACGCACACAACTTGCTCACACCAACTTTGTCACACACAACTTGCTCACACACACACAACTTGCTCACACCAACTTTGTCACACACAACTTTCTCGCCCACAACTTGCTCACACCAACCTTGTCACACACAACTTGCTCACACCAACTTCGTCACACACAACCAACTTGCTCACATCAACTTTGTCCCACACACAACTTGCTCACACCAACTTTGTCACACACAACTTTGTCACACACAACTTGCTCACACCAACTTTGTCACACACACACACAACTTGCTCACACGCAACTTTGTCACACACTCTCTTTCACACACACTCCCCTTCGTTGGTGGAAGCCGACATCGACGTTCCATTTGTGTGGCGGGCGTGGCAGGCGTGGCACTTGGTGACATTGACGTTCCATTTGCATGGCAGGCGTTGCACTTGGCGACATCAACCTTCGTTTTGCGTGGCAGGCGTGGCACTTATGGCACTGGGCTGGCTCTGGTGGCGCTTGGGGCCCGTTAGTCGCCCATGCCGCCGCGGCACTTTGCGTGGCAGGCGTGGTGCTTGGCGACATCCACCTTCACTTTGCGTGGCAGGCGTGGCGCTTGGTGACATCGACCCCCTCTTTGCGTGGCAGGCGTGGCACTCATGGCACTGGGCTGGCTCTGGTGGCGCGCTTGGTGGCAGGCGTGGCGCTTGGCGACATCGACCTTCTTTTGCGTGGCAGGTGTGGCGCTTATGGCACTGGGCTGGCTCTGGTGGCGCGCTTGGGGCCCTTTAGTCGCCCGTGACGCTGCGGCACTTTGCGTGGCATGCGTGGCAGGCGTGGCGCTTGGCGACATCCACTGTCACTTTGCGTGGCAGGCGTGGCACTTGGCGACACCAACCTTCGTTTTGCGTGGCAGGCGTGGCGCTTGTGGCACTGGGCTGCCTCTGGTGGCGTGCTTGGGGCCCGTTGGTCGCCCGTCACGCCGCGGCACTTTGCGTGGCAGCTGTGGCACACATCCACCGTCACTTTGCGTGGCAGGCGTGGCACTTGGCGACATCGACGCTCTCTTTGTTTGTGGCAGGCGTTTTCGTTTTGTGTGGCAGGCATGGCACTTATGGCGCGTGGGACTTTGTGGCACTCAGGCGAAAGTTGCTTCGCGGTGCCCTAATCGCGTGGTCCGCTTGTCTATGGGGAAAGTGAGAAAAGGTGATGTTTTGTGACGTGCGAAAGTGCATCTCGCGTGGCAGGCGTGGGACTTTGTGGTGCTCAAGCGAAAGTTGCCCTGCGACTAATTGCGTCGTCCGGCTGTCCATGGGGAAAGTGAGAAAAGGTGATGTGTTGTGACGTGCGAAAATGCATTTCGCGTGGCAGGCGTGGGACTTTGTGGCACTCAGGCGAAAGTTGCCCCGCGACTCTCTAATCGTGTCGTCCAGCTGTCTATGGGGAAAGTGAGAAAAGGTGATGTGTTGTGACGTGTGAAAGTGCATTCCGCGTGGCAGGCGTGGGACTTTGTGGCACTCAAGCAAAAGCTCTCTGATGTTGAAAGAGTGTGGAGTGTGAAGTGTGCAGTGGAGAGTGTGGAGTGTGAAGTGTGGAGTGTGAAGTGTGAAGTGTGGAGTGGTGGAGTGCAAAGTGTGGAGTGTGAAGTGTGGAGTGTGGAGTGTGAAGTGTGGAGTGTGAAGTGTAGTGGAGAGTGTGAAGTGTGGAGTGTGAAGTGTGAAGTGTGGAGTGCGAAGTGTGGAGTATGAAGTGTGGGGTGGTGGAGTGTGAAGTGTGGAGTGTGGAGTGCGAAGTGTGCAGTGCAGAGTGTGAAGTGTGGAGTGTGAAGTGTGGAGTGTGAAGTGTGGAGTGCGAAGTGTGAAGTGTGGAGTGGGAAGTGTGGAGTGCGAATTGTGTGGAGTGTGTGAAGTGTGGAGTGTGAAGTGTGGAGTGTGAAGTGGAGAGTGTGTAGTGTGGAGTGTGAAGCGTGAAGTGTGGAGTGCGAAGCGTGAAGTGTGAAGTGTCGGGTGCGAAGTGCGGAGTGTGGAGTGTGCAGTGTGAAGTGTGGAGTGTGAAGTGTGAAGTGTGGAGTGTGGAGTGCGCAGTGTGTAGTGTGGTGTGTGGAGTGGAGAGTGTGAAGTGAGAAGTGTGGAGTGTGAAGTGTGGAGTCTGCAATGTGAAGTGTAGAGTGTGCAGTGCGAAGTGTGAAGTGTGCAGTGTGAAGTGTGAAGTGTGAAGTGTGTAGTGTGAAGTGTGAAGTGTGAAGTGTGCAGTGTGGAGTGTGAAGTGTGGAGTGTGAAGTGTGAAGTGTGAAGTGTGGAGTGAAGTGTGAAGTGAGCAGTAAGCAGTCTGAAGTGTGGAGTGTGAAGTGTGAGGTGTGGAGCGTGAAGTGGAGTGTGAAGTGTGTAGTGTCAGATGTGCGGTGCTAAGTGTGAAGTGTGGAGTTTGAAGTGAAGTGTGAAGTGTGAAGTGGAGTTGGAATGTGAAGTGTGGAGTGTGGAGTGGAGCGTGTGAAGTGAGAAGTGTGTAGTGTGCAGTGTGAAGTGTGATGTGTGAAGTGGAGAGTGTGAAGTGTGAAGTGTGAAGTGTGGAATGTGGAGTGTGAAGTGTGGAGTGAAGAGTGTGAAGCGTGAAGTGGAGTGTGAAGTGTGGAGTGTGCAGTGTGAAGTGTGGAGTGTGAAGTGTGAAGTGTGGAGTGTGCAGTGTGGTGTGCAGTGTGGAGTGTGAAGTGTGTGAAGTGTGGAGTGTGTTGTGTGAAGTGTGAAGTGTGATGTGGAGTGTGTGGAGTAAGCAGTGTGAAGTGTGGAGTGTGAAGTGTGGAGTGGAGAGTGTGAAGTGTGAAGTGTGAATTGTGAAGTGTGATAAGTGTAAAGTGTAAAGCGTGGAGTGTGAAGTGAAGTGTGGAGTGCGAATGGTGTAGTGCGTAGTGTGTAGTGTCAGGTGTGCAGTGTGCAGTGTGGAGTGCGAGGAGGAAAGTGTGAAGTGTGGAATGTGAAGTGGAGAGTAAGGAGTGTGAAGTGTGGAGTGTGAAGTGTGGAGTGTGGGGTTTGAAGTGTAAAGTGCAGTGTAGTACTGGGACGTACTTTGCGCAAGCTTTGTAGTACAAAGTAGTACTGGGAAGTACCTTTTTTGCAAGCATAGTAGTACAAAGTAGTACCGGGAATGACTTTGTGCAAGCTTTGTAGTACAAAGTAGTACTGGAAAGTGCCTTGTGCAAGCTTTGTAGTAAAATCGGTACTGGGAAGTGCCTTGTGCAAGCTTTGTAGTACAAAGCAGTACTGGGAGGTGCTTTGTGCAAGATTTGTAGTACAAAGTAGTACCGGGAAGTGCCTAGTACTGGGAAGTTCTTTGTGCAAGCATTGCGGTACAAAGTAGTTCTGGGAGGTACTTTGTGCAAGATTTGTAGTACAAAGTACTGGGAACTACTCCAAGCAAGAATTGTAGTAGTACAAAGTATATAGTACTGGGGAGTTCTTTGTGCAAGCCTTGCAGTACAAAGTAGTACTGGGAAGTGCTTTGGTGCAAGCTTTGTAGTACAAACTGGTACTGGGGAGTACTTTGTGCAAGCATTGCAGTACAAAGTCGTACCTGAAGGTGCTTTTTGGAAGCTTTGTAGTACACAGTAGTACTGGGGAGTGCCTTGTGCAGGCTTTGTAGTACAAAGTAGTATATAATTAGAGGTACTTTTGCAAGCTTTGTAGTGCAAAGTAGTGCTGGGGAGTGCCTTGTGCAAGCTTTGTAGCACAGAGTATTACTGGGGGGTACTTTGTGCAAGCATTGCAGTACAAAGTAGTAATTAGAGGTGCTTTTTGGAAGCTTTGTAGTACAAAATAGTAATGGGAAGTATTTTGTGCAAGCATTACGGTACAAAATAGTATAATACTCCCTGGCACAATAAGATGGAGAAAAAAAATGGAAATTTAATTTTTGTCCATGTTAATTGAGGGTGAAACTGGTGAGGGATGGTCCAGGTTAACCTCAAAACTCACGATTTTTGGCAATTTCAGAGCTTAACATGGAACTTGTCACTTTTTACGCGGTATTTGCACGGTTTTGAGGTTTTTACCCTTTAACATGGAACATTAAAAGAACATCTATGTTGAAGGCCAGGTTTGAAATGGTCCATGTTAACCAAAGCAAAATATGCATCTTGTGGTGGTTTGGACATTTAACATGGAACATTCACGAGAGGAGAGGGATAACCAATTATTTGCAACCAGTTATTTGGACATTTAACATGGTCCATGTTAAACAAAGAAAAAAATGCAGTATTTTGAAAGCTTTGGTGATTTGGACCATTTGACATGGAACCTTCCAGGGATGACCAATTCTTTACAAATGTCTGCAACATGGTTTTCATTTTGATTGATTTAGGCCTAGAAGCGTTGGAAAGCAACAATTTTACTGAAAAACGGTCTGTTGGGAAGTTTGGTTCCTTAAGTTTTGGGTTTCCAAATTCTCCTCGCTTCGTCGGAGAAAAAAAAACTAGGTGCAAGATGTTCCATGTTAACCGCCTTTTGCTCCCAATTCACCGTGAAAATGGCGTTTCTTCCCAAACCTCCAGGGTGCATGGAATTTCCGCAAGGGGATTTGCCCTTTATGAGACCAAAACTTTAACTTTTACACATGGGCGTCCTTGCTGAAATAGAAGGCTTGGGTTTCCCCGGTTCTTCTCCCAAATTGTGGTTCCTCCATTTTTGGGCACAAAACTGTGTTTCAGAGGGGGGTCCCCTTTCTGAGACCCAGAAAAGCAATTTTTGAGTAGGAGCGTCAGAGCGTCCTATTGAAATTGATCCGTTTTGAATGGATGAGTTTTTCTTGGAAAATTGGGTGCCGTATTTTGATCCAAAAACTGTCTCCACTTTGTCGTTGTACAAAATGTTCCATGTTAAGCGTTTTGAGCTTCAATTCCCCCGGGATCCAATTGTTTTCAAAAAAGGCACATGTTGGAACATTTAAGGAGGGAACCGCCTTCCTTGGTTCAGATCTAGGCCTAAGAGTGTTGGAAATGAATCTTGGCCCTTTGAAAACTGAATGGAAAATGCTGGGTCCCTGAAGTCTTGATTTCTGCATGGTATCTACTCTGTCAATCAACACCGAAACGTGCGCATGATGTTGCATGTTAACCACTTTTTTTGGGCTGAACCCCACAATCATCATTCTTCACACAAGGTTGCTGCAGTTGTACTCATTTTGCTTGATTTAGGCCTCGAAGCGTTGGAAAGCAACAATTTTACTGATAAAAGATCTATCGGGGAGTTTGGTTCCTCAAGTATTGCCCTTTGTCCCCCAATTCACCGTGAAAATGGCGTTTCTTCCCAAACCTCCAGGGTGCATGGAATTTCCGCAAGGGGATTTGCCCTTTATGAGACCAAAACTTTAACTTTTACACATGGGCGTCCTTGCTGAAATAGAAGGCTTGGGTTTCCCCGGTTCTTTTCCCAAATTGTGGTTCCTCCATTTTTGGGCACAAAACTGTGTTTAAGGAGGGAACGGCCTTCCTTGGTTCAGATCTAGGCCTAAGAGTGTTGGAAGTGAATCTTGGCCCTTCGAAAACTGAATGGAAAGTGCTGGGTCCCTGAAGTCTTGATTTCTGCATGGTATCCACTTTGTCAATCAAAAACGAAACGTGCGCACGATGTTCCATGTTAACCACCTCTTTGCGCTGAACCCCACTTCCTGAATCATCATTCTTCACACAGGGTTGCTGCAGTTGGGCTTTCTTTGCTTGATTTAAGCCTAGGAGCGTTGGAAAGCAACAATTTTATTGAAAATAGATCTATCGGGAAGTTTGGCTCCTCAAGTATTAGGTTTCCAAATTTTCCTCGCTTCTTCGGATAAAAAAGAATCAGTTGCAAGATGTTCCATGTTAACCGCCCTTTGTCCCCCAATTCACCGTGAAAATTGCGTTTCTTCCAAAACTTCCAGGGTGCATGGAATTTCCGCAATGGGATTTGCCCTTTATGAGACCAAAACCTTAACTTTTACACAAGGGCGTCCTTGCTGAAATAGAAGGCTTGGGTTTCCCCGGTTCTTCTCCCAAATTGTGGTTCCTCCATTTTTGGGCACAAAACTGTGTTTAAGGAGGGAACGGCCTTCCTTGGTTCAGATCTAGGCCTAAGAGTGTTGGAAATGAATCTTGGCCCTTTGAAAACTGAATGGAAAGTCCTGGGTCCCTGAAGTCTTGATTTCTGCATGGTATCTACTCTGTCCATCAAAACGAAACGTGCGCACGATGTTCCATGTTAACCACCTCTTTGGGCCGAACCCCGCTTCCTGAATCATCATTCTTCACACAGGGTTGCTGCAGTTGGGCTCATTTTGCTTGATTTAGGCCTAGAAGCGTTGGAAAGCAACAATTTTATTGAAAAAAGCATTGAGCCCGCTGTGCGGGTATCACCTTTCCACCCGCAGACGAAGACGAATTCCGAAGACGAATTCCCCGAAGACGAATTGCCCCCCGAAGACGAATTCCCCCCGAAGACGGATTCCGAAGACGAATTTCACGAAGACGAATTGCCCCCCGAAGACGAACTCCCCCCCGAAGACGAATTGCAAAGACGAATTCCACGAAGACGAATTGCCCCTCGAAGACGAACTCCTCCCCGAAGACGAATTGCGAAGACGAATTCCCCGAAGACGAATTGCCCCGGGAAGACGATTTCCCCCCTGAAGACGAATTGCGAAGACAAATTCCCCGAAGACGAATTGCGCCCCGAAGACGAATTCCCCCCCGAAGACGAATTGCGAAGACGGATTCCCCGAAAAGACGAATTGTGCCCCCCGAAGATGAATTCCCCCCCGAAGACGAATTGCGAAGACGAATTCCCCGAAGACGAATTCCCCCCCCGAAGACGAATTCCGAAGACGAATTCCCCCCGAAGACGAACTGCAGACGAATTCCGAAGACGAATTGCCCCCGAAGACGAATTCCTCCCCGAAGACGAATTCCCCGAAGACGAAGTGCGCTCCGAAGACGAATTCCCCCCCGAAAGAAGATGTTTCATTTACAACAGGATGGAAGCGTTGAAACGATGGGGAGGAAGTAATGGACGGAAGAGAAGAGTTGAAGCGAAAGGCACGCCGTATAGGAAACGGAAGGGAAGAAAAGGGAAGGGAAGGAGTAACGAAAGGGATGAAAAAGAGTTGAAACGAAAGGAAGGAAGCAACGAATGGAACCCAAAGATCAGGTTAGGCAATTTCCTGCCTACCTGCGAAACCCGAGTGCAGGAAAAAAACGCGATGGACCATCTTGGTTTGAAAAAACGCGATGGAAAACAAAAATTGCGATAAAACCAAACAAAATGCGATAAATGATTTTGCCAAATTGCGGCGCCCACAGCCTCGTTCTCTTTTAAGTCTGGGCGCCATGGATTCGGAGAATTGGTTCTGTGGAAATAAAAGATAGAGAGGCGGGATCTTGAAATTTTTGGGCCATGGCCACACATGCCGGAAATGTTGGTTTTAAAATGGTTGAAACATATGTCCGCAAATTTCCGCGATATTCCCGCAAATTTCCGCGATATTCCCGCAAATTTCCGCGATATTTGTGTTTTGTTTTTTGTTTCTACAAGAAATATGTTGCAAACCTGTTTTCAACTGTTGTGAGAGTTTAGCTCAGGCATATCACCCAATTTTTTGGGATTGCCTTTTTCATATCTTCAGCCAAGATTGCCTTTTTCATATTATGTAATGGAAAGGGCGGCCAAAGCGTGTGAAGAACCTGAGAACACCTGAAATGACCAAAAATTGCGATATTTCAAATTTTCAAGCCTTTCCCATCCCGGATCTTCAAAAAGTAGGTTTTGTTGAATATCACTTTTTTTTCTGGCACTTAGGGCGCCCCAGGTAATAGTTAATTCCTTATTTCCTACCTAATTAGGTAATTTTTAAGGTAAAAATGTAACCTAATTTTAAGGCAATTCGGTACGTGGGGTTGAAAGTTTGCGTGCAAACTTGCGAGGCGTGGCTGAAAGTTTGCATGCAAACTTGCGGCACGAGGTTGAAAGTTTGGATGCAAACTTGCGAGGGGAGGTTGAAAGTTTGCGCGCAAACTTGCGAGGGGGGGTTGAAAGTTTGCGCGAAAACTTGCGAGGCGGGGTTGAAAGTTTGCAAGCAAATTTGCGCCCTTTGACACTGTGAAAGCCTGAGCTATTTAGAGCCAGACACGCCTCCTTTTCATGTATAGTGTTTCGCCTGCATGTCATCCATGCTCACTCAACCTTTTTGCTGTTGCCAACCACCGACATGGCAGGTCGTGGAGTCTGTATCTACTTTCGCAAGCTGCAGACTATGCAGAAACCGGATCTTGCTGCAATTTAATTTGATGCTCAAATCCACTTGTCAGGATCTCCTTTTGCGTTTGATTGCTTTATGCAATGGCGCGGTGGTGAAAACAATTGCAACTGTCGTGTGTTGCATTTTGGATTGCGTGTGATCCTGTCAACTATCCTTGTGGATATCAACATCAAGGCTTGTCGCCTTCACCACATCAAATCACTTTTCCTTTGTGAAGCTGTGATTGATTGAGGGAACCATCCGCTCACCAACATTGGTAGCGGAGCCCTTCTAGGGCTTGGGATAAGGCTGATAAGGGAGGTCCTGCTACCAGACCAGTTTACAACTCTCCCTGGAAGAAGGTCTGGCGTGGAATTCAGTTTTTGTTTGCAAGATGTCTCGAGAACGGGAGCATGATGAGCCAATTATTCCAGGTTGGAACGATGAGTTGAACAAGTGGCCGGATTACTGCAGGCGAGTTCGCCTGTGTCATGCACAGACTGTTCGCAAGAAGCGATACACCTTGGGACCTCGATTGGTCCTCAAGTTGTCTGGACGTGCCTGGGAAGTAGCTGCAAGTTTGGACCATTCACAACTTACCACCAATTCTGGAGCGCAGTATTTGCTGTCATATCTCCGTGAAAGGCTTGGCCGTTTGCCGATCCCGGACGTGGGACAACACTTAGACGACCTGTTTGTGCGGTTGCGCAGGCAACCGGGAACCGACATGATTTCTTGGTGCAGCCAAGTTCGTGAGGCCTACAAGAAGGTTCAACGATCACTGGCAAGGACAACAGTTGGCAAGAAAACTGTTGCCCTGAGTCTCCGAAACTAGTAAATTTACTAACCACAAATTTTACTTAAATTTAACTATTTACACGAAAATTTACTTAAATTTCCCTAGTAAATGTAAATTTACTTGGTAAGTAAATTAATTTACTTGGTAAGTAAATTAAATTTACTTGGTAAGTAAATTAAATTTACTTGGTAAGTAAATTAAATTTACTTGGTAAGTATTTTTTTTGGACATTTTTTTGGTTGAAAAATGTATAGTTTTTGATGTTTTTTGTTTAATTTCTGAGAAGTATTGCAAGACAAATTGCCTTGAAATGCACATGATTTTGTATTTGTTCTTTTCTTTTTTGGTTGGCTTTACTTAAAAACATATGATTTTGGTTCTGGAATATTGTTGGAATTGTTGCATTCTATTTTTGGACCTCTTATCTTCAAGTGTTGGACTTGTTATTACCCGGTCTGTTTTCTTTTGGAAGGGTTGTAATATGCTTTGTTTCATTTTATTGAAAGAAGAATGCATATGGCATGCATTCAAAATTACCACAGGTTAAAAAAAAAACAACCTTCTTGGAATGTACTAGGTGGACAAAGTTTGGATGCTGATCATCAATGTCTGGATGTTTTTCTTCTCCTGTTTGAGCACTGCCAAGGGAATCCCTGACAAACATTTCATTCAGAGGCAATTCACTGTGGAGGTGGCAACATGATTTTGCATTGCCACACTGACTAGATGAATTTTGACTTGCCTTTGTTGAACAAGCTCTGGGCATAGAAAGCTGGCAGCAACATATCTATTGTCTTTGTGTATTTACTTGAGATCCTGCTGCTTGACATGAAAGTCATTACACATAGCGCTTTATAGCATGTTTTGGGCTTGGCAGCTTTACTTGTGAATTTGTTTTATTGGTAAGCAATGGATGCCTTTAATTCAGAAACTTTTCAGAGCTATATTGGCAGAGTGCACACTGTGAAAAAAGGCTGCTTTACTTGAGATTTTACCTGTGACATGTTTCATGTGGAGTTGCATTACTTCAGAATTTACTTGTGATACAATGATTCCAAAACATGATTTTCTCTCGTGTTTTGTTGCACTATTTGAAACTTACTTGTGAAGGTTTTGAAGATCCCATTGGAGTCATCATGTGGAGATGCAGCATTACTTTAGAACTCACTTGTCATGGTTTTGAACATTCCAGCGAACTCAGCCTTTGAAGTTGCATTACTTGTGAACTTACTATTGGATCATTTGAATGTTTCAGTCAAGTTGCACTTTAGAAGCTGCATTACTTGAGAACTTACATGTGAAGATTTTGAGGATTGCAGTTAACTCAGCCTTGGGAGTTGCAACACTTGAGAAGGTTTAGAGGGATGGCACTGCTGGCTTACTTGGGGAGTCCATTGAACCACATTCCCATGAAGTATCTTCACATGTAAGGTCAAAGATAAACCAGTTCTCATCAGAAAACTTATAATTTTGTCCAAAACATTGCAAAAAACTATATGCAGTTTATATGCAGTTTTAAAACTACATACGGTTTTGACAAAAGTGTATGTAGTTTTACCAAAACTGTATGTAGTTTCAAAACTGCATATAAACTGCATACAAACTGCCTACAAACTGCGTACAAACTGCGTACAAACTGCATATCATTTTTCATAACAAACAACATTTTTCATCCAGGAAACATCAACATTTCATCAGAAAATGATCCAAAGATAACCCATATATGAGTATGACACCAATCTACTTGGACATCCTTTGTATTCAGATCAAAATAAAATCTCTGATTGCACAATAGTGCTGTGCAGTTTGACTTGCCTTCACCTGCAGCTGGAAAACACGAACAGCAAGGTCTGATGTGTTACCTGAGACTTACCTGGGAATCCAAATTCATATGACACACTGATTTCACCTTTTGAGCTGTTGCTGCAATACATGAGAAGTTACTTGAGACCTACTTATGGTTTCTTGCTGCATCTCTTGGTGTTCATCATCCTCCCTGGAGACGAAATGGACAACCTCCAAGAGATCTTTGTCTTTATTTGACAACACCAGAAGAGAAACCAAGCAAAGCACCCCTATCGCATGAAACTGGACAAGTTGACAATGTTCCAGCCCAAGAAAGGCTACCCCAAACTTCGTGGCAGAGCCAGTGACATTGCTGGACTAGCCCATTGCATGTTTGATCTTTGGTCACACTACATGGATCAAGGTGATCAGCACCACCTACGCATTCGTCTATTTTTGAAATTGAATTTGGAGCTCAAAGACATTTTGGAAACATTCTCGCCTACCTATGGCCACACAGCACTTCCAGAACCACAATACACCAAAGCATTCCAAGGAGGGCTTTCAATGGCCCAGCTCCACAAGCAACTCAATGAACACTTTGAGGCAACTGATGTGATTTTTTTTACTGTCACAAGCAAAACTCATTTCGCATGGCACAGTTTGCAATTTTCCAACTGTATACACCCTTTCCTGATATGGTGTTACGAAGGAGAGTCCACTATGTGTCGTGCACAGATCCTTTGGAAGTCTTGCTTGCATGGCAGCAAACACAGGTAGGCTTCAATAAAAGCTGCTTGGAAGGAGCGCCATTTAATGTGGATGCAGTGCAAAGGATAAACTTGAATAGTTTCACCACAGGCAAAGCAGAAATTACGGCTTTCCAAGTTGGGTTCATTACTTGTGAGAAACAAAGAAAGTAACCTACTTTTAGCTTTCATGATCATTATATTATCATGTACTTGAGAAGTTGAAGCTTTGCAGGTTACAAGAAACATTGCAATCCCACAATTGACATTTGCAGGAGATCAGGTTAAACAAAATTCCATGTGTTGGAAAAATAGCTTCTGCAATACAAAACTTTCATTTTTTCATATTTTACCTTATTCCTAACACCAGCTTTCAACAACAGAAATGAACTCTACCATAGAAAATGCTTCTTGGTAGTGAAGTGTGATGTTTTTCCATAAATTTCTTCCACAAATAAAAACCACCACATGCAGTTTGTATGTTGTTTCTATGCGGTTTCTATGCTGTTTCTATGTTGGCCAAAAATTTACTTACAAAATTACTTTCTCAAAAATTTACTTGGTACCAAGTAAATTGCTCATTTACATTAAATTTAGGCAAAAAGTAAATTTACTAGTTTCGGAGACTCAGGGTGCTGTGCAAACTGTCACGGATGGGACGGTAGGTGAGTCTCCACGGTCCGGCTCGACACGTCGTCGTGCCAGCGGCAGTGAACCTCAAGGTGAACCACAAGATGATTTCCAGAACGCCTCGGCAGGTGCCGAGCAGAGTGAGCAGTCTCCACCAGCTCAGACGTCAGCGGCACAGAGTTCTCCAAGTTCTTCAGGGTCCTGGAACGATGACTCCTGGGGTCAATGGAATGACTGGTATGGACACAGCTGGCACCAGTGGGAAGACGAGGATGAAGAGGGTGATGAGCAGCCGTGGGAGGATGAAGACCATATGATGCCTGTAGTACTTCCTGAGGAAGTATTGGGATGGCTTCTGATGCGGAGATCTGGTCTGAGCTCACAGGCCAAGTTGGCCATCCAAGCGGCATCAGGGAATTCGTTGAAATTCACGGACGTGGAGCGAGCTATGAGACTGCAGGAAGAGGAACTCTTGCATCCAGAACGAGCTCGTCCACCACATGGGCGACATCAGCCGCGTTCCTACTGGGTGGACACTGGAGAAAATTGGGGTTTGTACATGAGCCCTCCCGATGAGCTGGATGTTCACGATGAGGATCATGAGATCCATTGGCTGGACAATGAGTCGTTTGCTGCGGCCTTATTTCCACCGGAGTCCGTGACACCGCAGGGTGTGTGGGACAATCAAGATGATGGCGCGTGGTACACAGATGGTCACTATGACTGGGTGTGGTACAACGACGAATGGTATGCGGCAGTTTCTGATCAATGGATTTCATATGCTGAGATGAAGCCTTGGATGGACATCGAAGATGTCTTGGCCGTAGATCAGTCTGTAGGCAAGGAAATCAGTGAATTGTATGCTTCTTTTGACCAGAAGGTCAGAACTTTTAAAGAAGCGAGGGACTTGGTTCATCAGAAGGGCAAGAACCGTGGATATTATCCTTACTCTCCTAAGGGGAAATCGAAAGGAAAACCCAAAGGGTCCTCTAAGGGAAAGAAGGGATTTTCAGGTAATTCCGGGTCAGCCTTCGTTGTTGGACATGGAAAAGGAACTTCTAACATGAGCCCAAATAACCCCAAATCATCAGGATGTTTTGTTTGTGGTAAGCAGGGACATGGTTACATGACATGCCCATATCGAAACAAAAGCCAGGGTTCAGGCACTCAAGGGAAGTTCGGTCATGCGAATTTTGTGGATGAAGTCTACACGGTGAGTGGCGTTGATGTCCCGACTTCTTCCACGGATCATGCTGAGCTTCCACAGTTGCCAGCCGTGGCTGACATGCAGCGCCTCATTTTGACGGCGGCAGATCCTTCGATGGTGGGCCATCCAGAGCGTTTGGGATATGGAGTCCTTGACACTGGAGCGACGGAGACAGTGGGATCTCTCGAGGCCATTGAGTTTATTTCGCAACAGCGTCTCAAGCACTTTGGTCCCGAGGAGATTGGGGTGGATCCAAAACGTCGAAAACGTTTTAAGTTTGGGAATGCCGAAGAAAAATATGCTGAGAGTTTTGTTTTACTTCCCCAAACTGTTAATGGAAATAAAACCACCCTAGGTGTTTATACTCTTGATGTTCCGGGAGTTCCAATTCTTTTTGGAGTCAAAACCATGTGGCGATTAGGAGCTGTGATCAACGTCCGGAACATGACAATAGAGTTCACCCATGATCCCACTTGTTAGAGGCCAAAACTGTCATCTTATGTTGAATTTGTGTGCGGACTGGTGCAACAATGATAAGGTTGCCATTAGCAGGAACAACACTGCCACGTTTCACCATGCATATAACCTTGAAGAACCAGAGGAAAATCAGGAGTCCGCAGCTCAACCCATTCAACATGCCAAAGGAGAAGCCGTTTTGTGCAGTCATGACATTCATGAATGTGATCCACAACACAATTTCCACATAGTTGAGACCATGAGTGAGAAGTCCACCGAGAGCATGTGGAACCATGTGAATGATGTGCATGCCGACCTTGCCGACCTCAGTTTGACAGCCCGAGCCATAGACCTGCTCAACGCTCGAACTGAAGAGAACGCTCAGTTGTGCAATGGAAAAGTTCCAGAAGACCATCTCCGGCAAGGCAATGACCGAGGAGCAGTGCCGCGAGATAGCCTTAGAGATGGTGGAGGAAGCTTCTGGGAAGAAGGGAGTGACGATCGATGTCACGAAGTACGACTGGGGCAGGGCAACATGGGCCGACCCCCGGGACCAGCGGTGCGTTCAGGCGCCGTGCCATGGAAGTCACAGCGTGGAGAAGTTTGGCCGCGGTTCGAAGAGCGGCAACAACAGGTGGGCGTTGTGGCTGGTGTGCCAAAAGTGCGCTCTGAGGGTAGCGTATGTCCCGACGTGGGTGATCTCCAGGGGTCTACCGCTCTGCCGGGCCTTTGCCCAAGGATGTGGCCACTCACATCGAGAACAAAGAGGCCCAGCAGGAGCCATTGAACCCAAAGGAGATGTCCACCAAGAAGCTGGGATACGAGGCAGCAGAAGCATCAGCCCTCAAGCAACTGGAGCACATCCGTATGGCCAAGAGCAAGTTGGACATAGCCCCACAGGTCAAGGCCAAGAGCGCACCCAAGATGACGCCAGCGACCAAGAAAAGTCAGAGGATCGATCTGACCAAGGACGAGGTTCCAACGAGCACCCTCGCGGCGTGGCAATCCAGTGACTCCCGAAGTACAGGAGCAGGAGACGGCTCAGGGCTCCGACGGTTGGGAGCAGGTGCAGCAAGCACCCAACTCTTGAGAGAGAAAGCTCCCGAGATAGATGATGATGCTCTGCTTTCGCAGGAGACGGATGAGAGCGTCGGAACCTATACGCACAAGTTGACCAAGGAAGATCGGTCAAAAATATGCGCAGTCTTGAAAGGAGTTCAAGAGGAGTTGGATGAGTGTTTTGCTTCAATACCAACCCACAAATGTGATTTGTTGGAAGTGTGCTGTGGGAAGGACAGTGGTTTAACTCAAGTTGTTTTGGAAAATGGGGGAAAAGCATTCCGAGTTGGGTATCGCAATGACATGAATTTGGTCAGTGATCATGGGTTACAGCGAGCGAAAGAGTTTGCTAGGATTGTGAAGCCAAAATGGATGTGGATTTCTCCAACTTGCGGTCCCACTAGTCCTATCCAAAATCTTAATCAAAAGAGCGAACAACAAATCAAGAACCTTCAGACCAAGGTCCGGAAATCAAAGAAACTCACGAAAGCATGTGTTGAGTTGGCCAAGGAACAGGTGGAACGTGGAGGTGAGTGTGTTTGGGAATGGCCATGGGTGAATGGTGGTTGGGATTTCCGGGTAGTCAAGGAATTCATTAAATGGTTGGTTGACAAGGGTCTTTTCCATAGAGTTCGGTTGGATGGATGTCAAGTGGATGCACGCACCCATGACACACATGAGTTGATGTTGAAACCATGGAAGATCATTACCACGTCGGAGCACATGGCACAGTGTTTGGATCTTCGCTGCACACATGACCATGATCACGCACCATGTATGGGACATGATAGGGCACACAAGTCAGAACTGTATCCACGGAAAATGTGCGAAAGGGTTTCTAGGGTCGTGTTAGATTACTTGCACCATTCTCCTCATGAATTAGAGACCATGTTTGTGAGTGACGGCAACCAAGATGAATTCATCGGAATGACTGCCGAAGAAAAGGGAATTCCTCCACTTGATGCGTCGGAGTTGAAGAAAATGCAAGAAGTAGTGCGTAAGCTCCATGTTAGGTCAGGCCATCCATCGAATCGAGCACTCATGAACACGTTGCGAGCCCGTGGGGCAGACCCACGAATTGTTGAGTTGGCTCAGAATCACCAGTGTGATGACTGCAAGGAAATCGCCTTGCCCGTTCCTCATCGCCATGTCACCTTGCACCAATGCACTACCTTGTGGCACACACTGCAGATTGACATCGCACAGCTACCAGTGGCGAACGAAGTGGTTCATTTTCTGGTGATGTGCGATGAGGCCTCTTATTTTTGCAATGTTGCAGAGCTCTTCAGACACCACAAGCAGGAGTCAAGAAACGCAGTCAGGAAGTGATCAAAGCCTTGGAGCAAGTTTGGTTTCAGAATCACGGACCGCCAAATGTAGTCCGATGTGACCCTGAGGGCTGCTTTCGTGGAATTGCCCTCTCTGACTACCTCTCCGCCAGAGGCGTGGAGCTCCTGCCCTGCGCAGGGGAAGATCACGGGCAAATTGGAACGGTCGAACGGCTGATCAACAAGATCAAAACGGATGCTCGGACATTGCTTCGGTCAGTTGATGTTGACCCCTACATTGGAATACTTCATGTTGTTGGGGCCCATAACATGTTGGATAGAGTTGGAGGTTATGCCCCTATTCAATGGACTTACGGTAGGTTCCGCGAAGCTGATGGTAGGTTTTTCGAGGGGGGTAATTCGTTGCCATTTCATTCCACTGAAGGGTCCCTGGGAACTAGCCTTAGTGCGAACCTTTCGATTCGAGTCCAAGCTGAAGGGGTTTATCGTAGGAGTCAAGCTGTTGTCAAGCTGAACCGAGCCCTCAACACTAAACCCAGGAGACATGAAGTGTATCTCCCTGGGGATTTAGTGTACTATCGCCGTTTCAAAACACCATCAGGGCAGCAGCCATCCCATTCAGCCTTGGACCAGCCAAGAATGGGAATAGCCAGATGGTATGGACCAGCACGGGTCCTTGCAACAGAGACCCACTCCGAAGATTTTCCGGCGACCCGAAAACCGGGAAGCATTGTGTGGTTGACAGCTGCTGGAAGACTGAAACGATGCAGTCCTCATCAGCTCAGACACTGTAGTGAAAGAGAGAAAATTTTGGCTGAAGCATCTTCCGCAGTTTCCACGCCATGGAGTTTCACATCTCTCCTTCACTTGGTTGAGAAGGGACAGTTTGAGGTTTTTGATGATATGGTTCAAGATGAGGAACAACCTTCATTTAGGGAAAGAGAATCTCAACCTCGTGCGAGTGAGAGACGCGTTAGGAGTAGGAGTAGGGGCGTGAGTCAAGTGAAAAGAACTGAACAAGAAAAGCCAAAAGAACAAGGACAAGAGGCCAAAACAGCTGAAAAGGCCCAACAGAAGAAAAGAAGCGATGCAAAAGAGAAACCAGAAGAAGATAGAGAAAAGAAGAAATCCAGACAGACTTCCGCAGCCTCTTTGCCGCCACTGTATCGTCACCCTCAGTTTCAAGATGCGCAGCGTCGTGCGCCTGATCTAGGAGAATGGATCTTGCATGACCTGTTAAAAGCTGAGAAAACGTTTGTGGTGGAAGACGGAGAAGAGACAAGTTCAGTGTTTCACATTTCAGTTCCCTTGCCTGAAGACCGGAGAGAGATCAAGAAGTTTGTGAGAGACTCAACCACTTGGGTTTCTAACAAGATGAAGAAGGGCGCAGAACTGAAGTGGACTCATATTCCCAAACATCGGCTTGCAGACTTTCAGAAAGCCAAGGACAAGGAGTTGTCACACTGGATTCAACGATCAGCAGTGCGTCTGGCGAAAAAGCAGGATGTGCCGCCAGAGCGTGTTGTTCGAATGCGGTGGCTTTATACTCTGAAATCTGACAACAGTGCGAAAGCACGGCTGGTGATTATAGGTTACGAGGATCCCGACCTAGGGGATCTTCATACCACCAGTCCAACAATGTCAAGGAGGACACGGGGACTATTTCTGACCGCATGTGCAACCCTGGGTTGGACAGCTCTCAAGGGCGATGTTCGAGCAGCCTTTTTACAAGGCCTAGAAAGCGAAAAAGAGCGGGCCATCTTCGCGAAGCGCGTGAAGGAGTTGGCTGAGAAACTCGGAGGTGAAGAAGGTGACTATGTTCAGATACTCAAGGCCTGTTATGGACTGGCCAATGCACCCTCACAATGGCATGCTTCCATTTCTGAAACAATGAGAAATCTAGGTTTTATTGCTTTGCAGACAGAACCGTGCTGCTGGAAGCTTTTGGAAACCGATGCATATGGGGAGACTCGCGTTGTTGGTCTCGCTCTAGCACACGTGGATGATTTCTTATTTGGAGGTGATGGTTCTTCAATGACATGGAATAGCGCGCTAGAAGGGTTGTACAAGGCTTATGACTGGTCACCATGGGAGGCAGATACATACATGCACTGTGGCGTTCAAGTGATACAAAATGCTGATGGAAGCTCTGTATTGAATCACTCAAAGTACTGCGAAAGTATTGACCAGATTCAATTCAAGCAACGGCATCCCAATGAGTCAGTCACTGTGGAGGAAAGGCAGCAGTTGCGAGCTGTGCTAGGAGCCTTACAATGGCGGGTGTGCCAGAGTGCACCACAGCATGGCGCAAGACTGAGCGCACTTCAGAGTCAACTTGCGGATCCAAAGGTCCAAACACTTTTGGAAGCGAATAAGCTGGTGCGAGAGGTTTACAACAATCGACACATTGGGGTCAAATACAATAGGCTGGTTGTGAATGATCCCATGGATGTGACGTTTGTCGCTTGGTGTGATGCTGCTGTTGGAAATCGACGTGACCTAAGTAGCACAGGGGGTTATGTCATAGCTGCAACTGAACCATCGATTTTGGAAGGTAAGCCCTGTCCAATCAACATGGTCAGCTGGAAAAGCGGACGGCTTCCTCGAGTCTCTAGGAGTTCCCTTTCTGCAGAGATACAGGCATTCAGCAGCATAGCCGAAGAAGAACTCATGTATGTAAGAATCCAGTGGGCTGAGATGATGGGACATGAGATTCCATTGAGAAAGCCTGGTGAGTTGTTGCAGAAAGTTCCTGGTGTAATGGTAACTGACGCTAAGTCTCTCTTTGATGTGATAAAGAAAGGACCTCAGAACACTTCAGGGCTTGGCCTGAAAGAAAAATACTCAGTGCTTGACATGCTAAGTGTGTTTCAACGGTTGGAGCTTGGCAAAACTCAAACCAGATGGGTTCACTCCGAAGCGCAAATTGCCGATGCGATGACGAAGCATAGTGTCAACAATGCCTTGATTCGAGTCTTAATTAGTGGAACATGGACTTTGGTGCATGATGAAAATTTTGTAAGTTCAAAGAACTTGCGGAAACGAGCAAAGATTGACATTTCGGCGAAGGATTTTGGGGCATGTGAAAGCCTGAGCTATTTAGAGCCAGACACGCCTCCTTTTCATGTATAGTGTTTCGCCTGCATGTCATCCATGCTCACTCAACCTTTTTGCTGTTGCCAACCACCGACATGGCAGGTCGTGGAGTCTGTAATAGTCTGTATCTACTTTCGCAAGCTGCAGAATATGCAGAAACCGGATCTTGCTGCAATTTAATTTGATGCTCAAATCCACTTGTCAGGATGTCCTTTTGCCTTTGATTGCTTTATGCAATGGCGCGGTGGTGAAAACAATTGCAACTGTCGTGTGTTGCATTTTGGATTGCGTGTGATCCTGTCAACTATCCTTGTGGATATCAACATCAAGGCTTGTCGCCTTCACCACATCAAACCACTTTTCTGTGATTGATTGAGGGAACCATCCGCTCACCAACAGACACACACGCAAGCATTTGAATGCAAATGGTGGTGCAAGTTTACACTCAAACTTGCGTGGGGGGGTTGAAAGTTTGCCTGCAAACTTGCGAGGGGAGGTTGAAAGTTTGCATGCAAACTTGCGAGGCGGGGTTGAAAGTTTGCGTGCCAACTTTCGTTGAAAGTTAGGTAAAAAAAATTAGTTAAGGCAAGAAAAATTAACTAATTTAGGTAAGGAAAAAATAAACTAATAGTTAATTTTTTGTCTAAGATAAGGAATTACCTTTTCGGCAGAAAATTGGCTAAACTGATCTATTGGGAAGGGAAGAGTTGCAACGAAAGGACGAACGCAATGAAATGGACGAGTTGGAAGGAAAGGAAAAGAGCAAGACGAACAGGAAAGAAGAGTTGAAGCGGAAGAAAGATAAGAAAGGAGGTAACGAAATGAGCGGCTTGAAACGAAAGGAAGAGGTAAACGAACCGGATGAACACATTGAAACAAAAGGAAGGGAAGTAACAAAATGAACGCCGTGAAACGAAAGGAATGGTAAATGACAATGAACAGGATGGAAGCGTTGAAACGACGGGAAAAAAGTAACGAAGGGAAGATAAGAGCTTAAAACGAAAGGAACGAGGTATAGGGAACAGGAGCGAAGAGTTGAAACGAAAGGGAAAGAAGTAACGAATCGAAGCATAGAGTTGCAACGAAAGGACGGACGCGATGAAATGGACGCGTGAGAGGAAAGGAGGAGGTAAACGAAGCGGATGTAAGACTAGAAGCTAAAGGAAAGAAGTATAACGAAATGAACGGCTCGAAACGAAAGGAAGAGGTAAACGAACCGGATGTAAGAGTTGAAAAACGAAGGAGGTAACGAAATGAACGACTTGGAAAAAAGGAAGAGGTAAACAAACCGCATGTCAGACTTAAAAAAAGGAAGGAATCAGCGACATGAACGCATTGACATGAAAGGAAGAGGTAAATGAACAGGATGGAAGCGTTGAAAAACGATGGGGAGGAAGTAACGAACAGAAGGGAAGAATTAAAACGATTTAAAACAGAAGGAACGACGTATAGGGAACAGAAGGGAAGAGTTGAAACGAAAGAAGTAGCGAACGGGATTACAAAGAGTTGGAGCGAAAGGAAGGAAGCAACGAATGGAAGGGAAGAGTTGCAACAAAAAGACGGACGCAATGAAATGGACGAGTTGACAGGAAAGGAAGAGCAGGAAGAACAGGACAGAAGATTTGAGCGAAAAGACGGACCTAACGAAATGAACGCCTTTAAATGAGAGGAAGAGGTGAATGAATAATATGAAACAATGTGGAGGAAGTAACGAACGGAGCAGAAGTTAAAACGAAAGGAGCGACGTAGGGAACAGAAGGGAAGACAAAACGAAAGGGAAGAGTAACCAACGAAATGCTCTGGATGCTATAGCCTCCGGGCGTGCTCTTTGAGATTTTGAAAATTATTTTGATGCTACGTTCTTGGCCTTCACCTGGGGCATTTCAGCACGCCCTTGACGCTACGCTCTGGAGACAGTCGCCTCTTGAATGCTATGGCTGCTATGCTAATTTTCTCTTGGAAGTTCGATCCATCTCTTGGTGCTAGGCTCTTGGCTTACTCTTGGGTTTTCCGACACGATTTTGCTGCTACGCTCTTAGCTTTCTCCTAGGCCAGTCCGGCAAGCTCTTGATGCTACGCTCTTAGCTGTCTCTTGGAACTTCCAACACGCTCTTGGTGATTTTAACTCTCTTAACTATCTCGCGGGCTGTCCAACACTTTCTCTTTGCCTTGTCCTGGGACGTGCCAGCACGCTCTTGACGCTACGCTCTTGGCTTCTCGTGAAGCATGGCGCGCTATTTTTGCTTCTTTGTGTGACACATTGAGTGCCAACACGCTCTTGGTGCTACGTTCTTGGCTCCGGCTCACACTCTCTTGATGCTGCGCGCTGAACCTTGTCTTGGAAGAGTCCAAGATGCTGTTGACGCTACAGTCCACCACAATCGTGATGATACTCTTATAACTTTTTCTTGGAACTTCCAGCGCGCTCTTGTTGGTGCTACGCTCCGCCTCTTGACGCTGCGGTCTGAAGAAAGTCACGCTCTTCGTGCTACGCTCTTAGCTTTGTTCTGGAACACGCCAGGACGCTCTAGTTGCTACGCTCTTTTGTTCTTCCTCAAGCATTCCAGCATGCGCTTGATGCTACGCTCTGACCTCCAACACGTTCTGGATGCTAGACTCTTAGGTTTTTCTGGGTCCTTCAACAAGCTCTCTTGGGTACTACTCGCCTAGGTTTCTCTTGGAACTTCCAACAGGCTCTTGTTACGCACTAAACTCCCGCATGTTCTGAATGCTACACGCTCAATACTTTTTCATTGAACTTCCTGAGCTTTCTCCTGGAACACTCGGGCGCTCTCTTCGTTTGGGTTTGGTAAGAAGCTAAGAAGGTTCTACTACTTCAACTTAATGATTGATCCTTGCCTCAAGGATTTTCAACTGAGATTGCAAAAACGTACTTCAACTTAATGATTGATCCTTGCCTCAAGGATTTTCAACTGAGATTGCAAAAAAGCGCCACACGATCTTGATAATTACCTCTACGCTTTATATTTCTACATAACCCAGCCTTGGTGATCAGACCAAATCCCTGTCTGCCCTCCGGCTCCTCTTCCTCTCTACATTCCTCTATTTATCTCCCCACATACTAAGACTACAGTACGCCTGCGCCCTTCCTCGTCATGCCTAGCCTGTCAACAGGCATGTGTCTTCAGGCAATACACAATGCGTCGTCAGGGCGTAAATAATGCGTTGTCGGGGGGCAATGCGTCGTCAGGGAATGTGTCGTCACAATGCGTCGTCAGGGGGAAATGCGTCGTCAGGGCATGTGTCGTCAGAATGCGTCGTCAGGGGGTAATGCGTCGTCAGGGGGCAATGCGTCGTCAGGGAATGTGTCGTCACAATGCGTCGTCAGGGGGGCCGGGGTCATCGCCAATGTGTCGTCACAATGCGTCGTCAGCGTCAGCGCCAAATGTCAGACCCAAGCTGCGGGTGCCCTGGAAAAAAGATTTATCGGGAAGTTTGTTTCCTAAAGTTTTGGGTTTCCAAATTCTCTTCGCTTCGTCGGATAAAAAAGAATTAGGTGCAAGATGTTCCATGTTAACCGCCCTTTGTCCCCCAATTCACCGTGAAAATGGCGTTTCTTCCAAAATCTGAAGGGTGCATGGAATTTCCGGAAGGGGATTTGCCCTCTATGAGACCAAAACCATAACTTTTACACAAGGGCATCCTTGCCGAAATAGAAGGCTTGGGTTTTTCCCTTGTTCTTCTCCCAAATTGTGGTTCCTCCATTTGTGGGCACAAAACTGTGGTTCAAAGGGGGGTCCCCAGAAAGCAATTCTTGAGTTGGAGCGTCCTATTGAAATTGAGCCGTTTTGAATGGATGAGTTTTTCTTGGAAAATTGGGTGCCGTAGTTGATCGCAAAAACTGTCTCCACTTTGTCGTTGTACAAAATGTTCCATGTTAAGTGTTTTGAGCTTCAATTCCCCCGGGATCAAATTGTTTTCAAAAAAGGCACATGTTGGAACATTTAAAGAGGGAACGGCCTTCCTTGGTTCAGATCTAGGCCTAAGAGTGTTGGAAATGAATCTTGGCCCTTTGAAAACTGAATGGAAAGTGCTGGGTCTCTGAAGTCTTGATTTCTGCATTGTATCCACTTTGTCAATCAAAAACGAAACGTGCGCACGATGTTCCACGTTAACCACTTTTAGGCTGAACCCCACGCCGCGAATCATCATTCTTCACGCAGGGTTGCTGCAGTTGGGCTCATTTTGCTTGATTTTGGCCTAGAAGCGTTGGAAAGCAGCAATTTTACTGAAAAAAGATCTATCGGGAAGTTTGTTTCCTTAAGTTTTGGGTTTCCAAATTCTCATCGCTTCGTCGGATAAAAAAGAATTAGGCGCAAGATGTTCCATGTTAACTGCCCTTTGTCCCCAAATTCACCGTGAAAATTGCGTTTCTTTCAAAATCTCCAGGATGAATGGAAATTCCGGAAGGAGACACGCCCTTTATGAGAACAAAAGCCATGACTTTTACAAGGGAACAAAAACATACAAAAACCACAACATTTACACAAGGGCGTCCTTGCTGAAATAGAAGGCTTGGGTTTTTCCCTTGTTCTTCTCCCAAATTGTGGTTCCTCCATTTTTGGGCACAAAACTGTGGTTCAAAGGGGGGGTCCCCTTCCTGAGACCCAGAAAAGATCAGAAAAACAATTTTTGAGTTGGAGCGTCCTATTGAAATTGATCCGTTTTGAATGGATGAGTTTTTCTTGGAAAATTGAGTACCGTAGTTGATCGCAAAAACTGTCTCCACTTTGTCGTTGTACAAAATGTTCCATGTTAAGCGTTTTGAGCTTCAATTCCCCTGGGATCAAATTGTTTTCAAAAAAGGCACATGTTGGAACATTTAAAGAGGGAACGGCCTTCCTTGGTTCAGATCTAGGCCTAAGAGTGTTGGAAATGAATCTTGGCCCTTTGAAAACTGAATGGAAAGTGCTGGGTCCCTGAAGTCTTGATTTCTGCATGGTATCTACTCTGTCAATCAAAAACGAAACGTGCGCACGATGTTCCACGTTAACCACTTTTAGGCTGAACCCCAC